TAGAAAATCAAATCCCAAAAGCTGTCACACAGCGTAATCAAAACGAAAAAAAATATACCCTAAAATTTTTTCACGAACTCGTCGACGTCGTCTTCTTCATCATTGGGTGCCGATTTCCTTTCATCCTCGGTTTGGTCCGCATCTTGCATAAAAATTGAGAACATGATTGCCTATAAAAAATGTCTTTATTGTCTTGATTATAGCAGCATGGAATGAAATCCAATTTCTCAAAGAGAGTTGTGTATACAACTTTGCTAATTCGTGTATATAAACAGAGAAAAAAAAATTTAACTAACAAGCAGTGGGTTGACGGTCTTTGCTCGATCATTAAAAAACAGAGAAAAAATTTAACTGTAGGGGAAGAGAAAATATAAACGTAAAGTTGTTGAAGAAGAAGAGAGGGAGAGGGAGAGGGAGACGGAGATGGAGAGACGAAGAGAGGGGAGAGAAAGTGTCCTACATATTTAGGTAAGTATAGACTTAATTTCAATTAAAGATCTCATTAGTATTTAATATGGCAGAAAAAAAAAGGTATAACGGTTACATCTTATATTTATGGCCCCGTTTCGAAGATAGCGGATTGAAGATAAATTAGCGGATTAGACTTAATTGAGAGGTTTGACCCGTCAAATCCGCTATTGAGCATGTTTGGTAAATAGCTTATTTGATAAGCTTTTTGGGCCCAAAACTCTAATTTAGAAAAAGTCCATTAGAGCAGCTTTTTGGAATAGAGGATTCAAAAAAATCATTTACTTGGAATTTTTTAATTTGTATTATTTATTTTACAATCTACATTGGTTTATGGTGCTAATAAATAATAATATGTTATCCATATGATTAATTTATCTAAAAAAAGGTAAAATTCATAACTTCTTCATCAAATGTTAGTAAATTTTTTTTTTGTTTAAAAAAAATATATTTATAAATTACCAACTAAAAAATATTTTAATATATTATTATTAAACCCTAAATAATAAAATGTCATTATTGGTCATTTTGCAAAACCAATTGAATTGAAAACAACAATACACAAAGCTCTAAATTCGAATAAGCTATAAACGAATTAATATAGAAAATCAAATCCCGAAAGCTGTCACACAACGTAATCAAAACGAAAAAAAAATATACCCTAATTTTTTTTCACGAACTCGTCGACGACGTCTTCTTCATCATTGGGCGCCGGTTTCCTTTCATCCTCGGTTTGGTCTGCATCTTGCATAAGAATTGAGAACATGATTGCCTATAAAAAATGTCTTTATTGTCTTGATTATAGCAGCATGGAATGAAATCCAATTTCTCAAAGAGAGTTGTGTATACAACTTTGCTAATTTGTGTATATAAACAGAGAAAAAAAATTTAACTAACAAGCAGTGGGTTGTCGGTCTTTGCTCGATCATTAAAAAACAGAGAAAAAATTTAACTGTAGGGGAAGAGAAAATATAAACGTAAAGTTGTTGAAGAAGAAGAGAGAGAGAGGGAGAGGGAGACGGAGATGGAGAGACGAAGAGAGGGGAGAGAAAGTGTCCTACATATTTAGGTAAGTACAGACTTAATTTCAATTAAAAATCTCATTAGTATTTAATATGGCAGAAAAAAAAAGGTATAACGGTTACATCTTATAATTGAAATATTTTTTAGCTTGTTTAGAAAATTTTATAAATAAAAATATAAGAGATACATAAATGTAACAAAAATCACAACTTAAAGTAAAGGGTGCAAATTCCTCATTTTTTTTTTAAAAAAAAATCTAATCATTTTTTATTATCTATTCGATTATTCATTTATTTTATTTATCAATCGTTAATGAAGATTTATTTGTCGGAGTATTCTACTAAGGATCGAAGAGATCTAAAACTATTAATTTGAAACTTTAGTTTAACTAAGTTTGAGAATTTAAAATATGTCTCAATTAATAATTCGAGACTTGAAAGATAAAATCTATCAGTTTAGAACCCGAACGATGTAAAATTATCAATTGAAATCTCTAAAAGGTAAAATATGTTGTATATTTTCTAGTTTTATTGAAATATTTTTTATTTATAAGTTTTATATTTTTTATAATTCACATGACATACAAAATTTTGTTCATAAATTTAATGTCGTTTTGAATCTTATGTATGATTTATTTTCTGATCTACATCTCTTAAAATCATATTCACAGTTTGAGGTAGTTTAAATATTTTGAACCCCGAATCAATATTTAATCTTCTAAACACATAATCAGTAGTACTTATTGTCTTTCACAACTCAAATGCATGCAAATTATCTTTAAGATCCGAACTGATAGTCGACTCATCTTTCTAGACCCTGACTCATAAAACTCTATTACTTTTTAGAAATTTTCAAATCTAAAAGTTACATATTATAAAAATTATAATTTTTTGTTATAGGGTTAAGTAGTTGCATATTGATTAGAAATGTGATCCGCTAATTCCTTATTTTAAACTAATATATTTGATTTCTTTTTAAATTATTGCAAACAATTACTTTTGTATTATTAATTAAAATAGTTCAATACTTGTCTCGTATATTGAGGAGAACATAATTACGAAGATCTCCAATTAAAATATTTTGTATTAATTAAATAAAAATAATGATTATGAAAATAAATAATTAGTTTTGCTATTTCCTGTTACCATTTGGCATATAAAATAAAGGAGTAACGAGTCTTTTCCTTTTCTAAAAATTAAATAAGATTATGTAAATTTTCCTTTCAAAATAAAAAGAAATTATTGAAAGTCAAAATTTTCTCTAGTAATTCATGCTGATTCTATAAAAATATAGGAGATGCTAAGATTCGGTAACGGAACTATTTATTCGGGATTTGTAACCGTTAGATCAACTATCACGACGGTTACAAAATGATCTAACAGTTACAAACTCTAACAGAATGGTTCCATAACAGGACCGTAGTATTCCTAAATATATATATATTTATTGGGAAATGCTATAATCCCCTCGTCATGTTTTCGTTGAACACTTTCTTTGATTATTCTCAAAAGAGAAGATTGTTCTCTTTACCAAACATATGTGGATCCAACCACGATCCTATAATTAAGAACAAGAGATCTTTCTCGATCAAGTGTGTTGTGCAGTGGAATTTTCATTTCACCGGAAAGGGATTCGGAACCACTCCGTCGGGATTTGTAACCGTTAAATCATCATGTAACTGTCGGGATAGTTGATCTAATGGTTACAAATCCGAGACAAAAACGGAACCATAGCATCTCCCATATTTATTTTAAAATCAACAAAAAATAAAAGGCAAGAGACAAGTGATGCTCATTAGGCCACCAGGCAAAAGTGGCGCCAAATCTTATC